TAAATTATCCAACTGGTACGCCGACTTGCGCTCCGCTTCCTCCAGTTTCTGTGGGAAGACAAAGAACGGTGACTCACGGATAATTACTGAAAAGCCCTAACGACTCATACAAAAGAAGTCACGATGTAATCAATGATCATTACAGCCAATGCATGAGTAAAAACACATTCAATTGAGTTTTTTCCTTTTCATCACTGGATTGGGAAATGTTGTAAGTCAGATTCAAACCCGTGTTTTAGATGACTTTATCAACACCATGCTACAGGGATGGGGTTATTTAAAGGGGTGTGTGTCTGTCAAGCTCATGTGACTGATGGGTTTGTTTACTACTGTTCTGAACCCAGTTTCGGATCAATAATGCCTCTACACATGACCCCTGTGACCTTATAATACATTACCCTAAAACAATACAGCATGACCCCCAGCTAAAACCGCAAACACACACACACACACACACACACACGTGCGCGCACACACATGACTGGTCGGGACAGCTTAACCGGTTATGAAGGGGAAAACCAGTAAGACCTCAAAATAAAAACCAAACTGAAAATAAAAGGGTTATGATCACATGCATATTTCCAACAATAGAAAGTATCTGTCTGTACTGCTTGACATGTGTTTTACAATAAAGCTCTTAAGGGATAGAAACTAAATTGTCCCATTAAGGGACGTGGCTCTATTCACAGGGTTTTCTTTTTAAGGTGTAGTGATGTTTATAATGTAGTATCTTAGGTGTGATCTTGTACATTCTGGCTACTGGTTAATGAGATTGAGATCAGATACATATATAAAGCCAATACGTACTACTAATAAAACTAGTCATGTGATCCCAACAACTTGTATTTGGCTACGCTTGACAATATTTGGCTACGCTAGACAGGAAATCACAAGGCGAGAGTAAGCCAAATTCGAACTCATATTTCCCACATGAGCACCATGGGCATGTGGGTAAACAACTGGGCTCTTATTTGTTTAATGTAGGAGCAACAGACAATCATGGGAGCTCCTCACAAGTGTGTTTACCTTTATGTGTGATTTGGCCTTGTTGAGGAGTCCCAGAGTGGTGTGACGGCTGCAGTCTGGTCCCAGCGGGATGAGGGACTTCAATCTCTCCAGGCACAAACGGAGGTGGGCTCGCCTGAAACATGACAAAACAAAGGTCAGCTTCCTACACACAAGCACACACCCTGAAACAATGCAATGAACTTGCTGTGCGTGTGTAGTTCGGTCAAAGGCTTACGAGACAACACCTAATTCTGTACCTTAAACAAAACAACACACACACCCACTGACTCCTTAAAAATTACATTCCAAGAAATGAAAGAGTGCATCATTGAGGTTGTAATCATCTCCTTTGACATAGAGGTGATCTGCAGTATTCACTCTAAACGGCCAACAGGGATCGCAAACTAAAGTTGTAAAAAAATAATTACTGTAAATAAAATAAACGTTATATATCTAATTTAGTCCTGAAACTTAAGAGTGCGCAGGCTGGTGGTCCTTTACATGCAATCTGTAAACAATCTCATCAAAACCGCATGGCACACGTTGGTTGGCCTCCGCAGCCAATGAGATTGCTTGCTCAACATTTAAAAAGACTGGTTCGGTGTTTGCTGTAAGTTCGTCCTGCAGTGCGCCTGCCCCTCCAGCTCCACATGTGTAGATCAGCTACGGGATTTATCTATGTCAATTCAGTTGTTCTCAAAATTAAGCCGGTTTTCCGGTTTATGGCGTTTTATGATGTTTTCTTTTTCCATCAGCTGTTCAAAGCATTTTCTACTGGTTGTGAGAGGAATTACTGCAATAAATTGACTTAGGATGGTCTATTTTATTGTCATTAGTTTATATTGTAGAATAGAGTAGCACCCAGTATAAAGTAAAAATTTTATTTCTTAACATTCATATTCAAGCAAGAACGTTAAAGCTACACTGTGCAACTCTTCTAGTTTATTCGAAGCTAAAAACACTTAGTACTTTCAAAAATATATGTACTCACTGCTCATTAATGTATATTTACTTCGTTCATAATAAAGTATTCTTGTGAGTGTATAATATGCCATTGAAAATACATACGGGTAAGGGGTTCTAATGCCGGTCGCTATGTTGCCCCTCCATCTTGAAAGTACATTAGCCAAAGAGGGACATACCCGTTAATTCAAGCTTCGCCTTTCACGTTTACGTTTGAGTTAACACTCATGGACGAGATGAAACTGAAAGCCATGTTAATTTTAGACTACATTGGCCACCGTAGGAGTTAAAACGAAATCGGAATTGAGAGGAACAGAAACTAATGTTCACTGGATGGTCATATACCTTTTCACCACTAGATGGGGGTAAAAATCACACAGTGTAGCTTTAATACAACGTCTAAAAAAACTGGACATATTTAATGTTCCTAAAACATTCAGAAATAACGTTTTTATAACTTAATGGGAACGTTATGAATCGTTCTTATAACCGAAAATTGTTAGCTGGGGCAGACGAGATTTTCGCGATTGCACTGAACATGTTTTAAGTGCAGGATTCTCTGAGCGAGCCCAGAGAAAATGGACCTATTCTTGCAAGAGCAGCGTGTATCTGAGAGCGCGCGTGAGCAGAGATTTATTAAATTAATTTACTCTCGCGCTACAATAGTGCGCTCTCGACATTTGACAAGAAAATAACACTAGTTCTGCAGCATCCACCTTCCCTAATCAGCAGCATGCAAGATCTAGTTCGCCAAACACATAAAAACTGCCGTATTCATTAACTTGCTATGCCAAAACTATTTTGAGAGTTTCATGATTGAAGTGAATATAAAAAACCTATACTTTTCTCATAAGTAACCATTTCTTATTTCCAATTTTAACTAAAAACGAAAAAGAAAAAAAAACCAAAAAAATTGATAAGTCAATCAAAATGAACATGAAAAATAAAATTAATTGAAATAATAAAACTACCAATGAATGCAATGATGCATACAGTCATGAAAGAAAAACATAAGCAGACGCTCTGTCTACATTTTACGAGCGCACACGGGCGTGGGTGATCGCTATCTGAAAGTGTGTCTCTAATTGTGTTATTGAGGCTTTTCAACTCTAATTCCGTTTGGATTCCTCCTTATCGGCAATGAAGAAGGCTGCTCTCTTTCTTTCACATATACAGTCTGTCTAGCCTGTGACAATGGTGGTAGATTTATCACAAGCCTTATCGCCGTGTCTGAGCACCACAGAGAGGGCACTGTTATCTGGACAGCAGTCTCTCTCTCACACACACACTCATTGCAGACGTTCCTCTGTCTGCCTTCAGTGTGTGGACATTGATTGATCAACCTGGTGCATTAATAGCTATAGGTGACAGAAAGGTATTTCAAGCTTACTTGTAGCTCGCACAAATTACTGCACCAGGCCTCTAGTCGGTCTACATCGATTTTGCCCTACAACCCTATTGGCATGGCAACCACATGTAACCCAAATATCTCTAAAAGTCTTCTCACGCTATCCCCCATATCATCTGTCTCCAGACATGACGGGCGTCACGTCACACACACAAGCAGTGCTTGCTGGGAAGGTTGTATATACGTGCGTGTTTGCTTTGGTGTGTGTGTGGCATGATAAATGACTTCAATTCAGTCGCCAGACAGAGACCGTGCCAAACAACTATCACTAAGCCCGTCGTCTCGAAGGCGAAACAACATTTTTTTAAAGACCTAATTATAACGCCACACGCAAAACACTTTAGTTTCTGTGATACGTGGAAAGACCCATTGCACAACATAAGAAAACAAAACTGAAACAAAGCAAAAACATGCATGACGTATGTAAAAAGGTCTATTTAAACTTAGGTGTGTTTCAGGTGCTATGAATAATTTGTGGTGTGAATTACAGCAATGCATGCACAGCAAAGTTATGTAACATATTAAGTTAATTTGTAAAAAAGTAAAAAAGTGTGGGGAAGCTCGTTGACGCTTTGAACGCTCTGACGTAGCAGGGAGATTAACAATAACAGAATAACAATAGTAACAGAAAAAAAACAAGCAATACATTGAAGAAACCTTTTATAATGACAGCATTTTTATAACCGTTTTGGTCACATTTGGTCGGGAAAAAAATAGTTAGCTATTATTATTATTATTTGCGGTCAAATCGGTGTCACCATGAGCAAATTAATTGCATTCCCGCTTTAAAACGAGCGTTCGTAAATATTTCAAATAAAAGTTGCGTTCATGCGGTCCATAAGCAAGCAACGTCATGTCATAAATGATACGAAACCTGTAGGAAACCCAGCAACGGCGATGATTAGCTTCTCTTCCATTTACTCGAAACTAATGTTTTGGTAAGAACGAAAGTTTACATTGTATATTTCTCCGGAATAAGCCAGCGTGAAGGACGTTTGCCGCTGCTTGCCGCTGAACCGCGTCACAGCTCATTACCATAAAGTTGAGCTTCTTTCAATTTGACGCTCCTTGCAGCTGAGAGAAGCCACCTTCCATTGAAAATGAATGACTTCCGGCCGCTTTGGAAGCTCAAGTCGGCGGCGGTGTGAACGTACAGTTAGCGGTGGCATAATAAAACTCAAAATAAAGGTTATTTATGTACAGAACCTTTAAAACCAATGGAAACTTTCCATTCCACAGTTTTGTTTTTTTAATATAGAGGAAAACGGTCGAAATGTTCTTCACACAAAGAAGAATCACTAAAAAGTTCATTAGGGAACCCAACATTCTATGGCATTGCTAAGAAAACTCTTTTGGAACCTTTATTTTTAAGAGTGAACAGTCACGGAACATGGAAGTAGCTGATTTGTAGCAATACATGAACAGACACAAATAAAAAACAGCCCTTTGCAAGTCATTGTGGCCATGAATTCTGCAATCGCATTCTCCACAAAGAACACACAAAAAATGACATGATCAATAAGTTATGACAACACACGTTTTTGCATTGCTTTAACTCATCGGAATAAGTTAAGAAATGTAATTACAAGTTATAAAAGATTTAAATGTATTGTTTAATGCATGTAATTAAAGTTGTAGGCTACTTTTTTTTTTACAGTGAACCATTTTAATTTGACTAAAACGAGTTAACTAGTATTCCTTCAAACGCTGCCTTCATTTGGTTTTAAAACCACAAACGAATGACCCTTGATAATCGTGGGTGTGCAGAATCTGCTTCAAAGCTGCAAGCCGAGTCTGTTCAAGCTTTGGCTCTGGTAACTATGCTGAATTTTAAACTCCTCTGCATTAGTCATAACTCACTACAACTCGCAAGTTTAATAATAACTCATATCAAACGTGCCCCTAGGCTTGAACGTGTTCAGACTTGTTCTCTCTTACACCCGGAGCAAGAATTTTATTATCCAAAACATCTTCACATGCCCTTTAAATGACTCACAAATAAACACACAGGCTCATAGTCACGGTTGTCACGATCGTGAAATGCTGGTTGCATACAAACAATTGTAACATCTTAATTTATTCATCAAATTTAATTTTGAACTACAGCACAGTGTAAAATGACATGAATGTTAAACACATATGGATGGACAATGTGAATATGGGCAATAGTAAGGCTGTGTTGGGGGAATTCATTAGGGTGAAAAGAAATGCATGCTTGTCCTAGATTCTGCTTGGTCCAACGGTAAATAATGCATGGTGTTTGCATAATATCATGGGCTTGACATGTTAATAACTAAAGTCAAGGTCAAAAGGCGGACATGATTCTGACATCCACAAATTAATCTGCATCAACAGAAAACGACATGCATATTTTCCCCTTCCATTCAGCATGGCTACTTGGCAACTATTGTATCATAAGAAATGCAAGAGGTTCCACACAGCCATGCATGCACTCTCCAAAAGGCAAGGTTTTTCCTCCAGATTCCCCTTTGATAGTATGTTTTTTATCTAATGGCTCACATGATGCCTTTGGAGCGTTAGGTCACATGGCTGGGTTATTGCACACCAGTGCACAAATTATAGAGCGAGAACAGGCTCTGGGTTCTCAAGCCCTAGTTCGGATCTGATCAATACAGTGGGACTGACGGCCTCATCCGGGTTACCAGCTTGTTTTATTTAAAGCTCTGGCCTCATGCTTTTATTATGATGTCACAACTAGTGAGCGTGAAGACGTATCCCCATCATATCAGTAACAGTCCCGA